CTACCAAGCAAAAAATTGCAGAGGGCATTCAAAACGATGTGATTAAATTAGGCAAATGTATGGAGGAAAAACCTGTCTGCATCTATTATGTATGAGGATATGGGTATAAACTCCTGTCTTATAAAATCCTTATGCTGCACATAAGGAAGGAGAAAGGATATAGGAAGAAAATGATCTCTGTAGGCATCACATTTCTTTCCTAAGCATCTGCTATCAGGAAATCTCAGAGACAGGATACTGACCTATATGGATATCAGCCTGACCCAGCAGGACTTGTTTCTGTTTCTGTTCTGTTTATTTATCTAAGAGGGATGCCGAGGGAGCCATTATCTCATTTTTACTTTGAATGTGTTCCTTTGATTTTGAATGAGGGATAACTGTACTGCATTACCATGGAGGAAGATACCTTGTCAAGAAGATGAAAGAAGGTTGTGAATTAACATTCTTCATTGCCCTGCTCAAGAGGCCCAGGAGGCAAACACTGCCTCCTCTAGCACTTGAGCAACACTGGCAAAACTATTTTCCACACTTTGTAGGTTGAAATCTGCCGTATTTGAGAATGATTAGAGCCATTTTGTCTCAGTTGCTAGAGACAGACCAGTGCAAGAGCCTGACAATCACAGAGAAAGTTAGTCTATGGGTCTGGCAGTTTATGGTTAATCTGACACTTTGCAGATGCATACTGTGTGACAGCTGCAATGAATCAGGTTATTAGAGTGACTTTCTGCTCCTAAAGCTTATTTATTCCTGTCTTTCTCAAAACGAGGGCGGGGGTGGGGAAGTGTAAAGCCTATCAATGAGATAGAGGAGAGGGCCTGAAGCCAGACAAACCAAAACATTTAGAGATTCTGCTAATGTTACAAGCCTATCAATGAGATAGAGGAGAGGGACTGAAGCCAGACAAACCAGAACATTTAGAGATTCTGCTAATGTTATGAAGATGAAAGGAATCCCCAAATAAAAAGGAGCCAGAGACATATTTAGCAGAGCCTCATTCCTAAACAGCCAATTGGATGGAGGCAGGAAGATCTCCATGCACATCTCAGAAGTTGTTTTCCCTTATAAAGTAAAGCAAAGGGATTACTTTATTCACAGTCTTCTATAGCAGTTGGGTTAAGCCTGCAGCTTCTGTCCTCCTTTACCAAAAAAGTATGGCATCTATGCATGGTGCATGGCCTCTGAGCTGGCATTCTTCAGGCTGGCTGTAGCCCATTTCCTAGGCATGGTGGTTGTACAGCTCCTGCTGCTGTGGAGTCCCAAGCACATTTCATGTCCATATGGCAATCTGCACAAGTTATTGAAAAATAAAGAACTTAAGGAAGGTGTAGCTAAGAGTTTGCACTGATATACTGAAAGATGCTTGAAGTCAATAGGGAAGTTCCCAATGTGCATTGGAGCTTTGCTAGTTTCACTATAAAGAGATCAGGGAAAAGGGTACTAAAGAGAGAGGCAAAACTACTTTTTATTTTTGTTCTTCTTTTAGTGATTGTACTCCAGACATGCTCCTGTGATGAAGACTGTAAAAGGGTTTAGCATGGACAAAGATAGAAGTTCTAGACAAAGGGGAAGCTAAATAAAAACCAGGTTTTGGCTATGGATACAACGAAAGAACGAGAACTCTGGAGTAAAGACACACCAGTCAAATTGTGCTGCATGGTTTCTGTACAAATGAGTGGGATAAGTACTGAAAGATAGGCAGCAGAAACTGGTGATGGAAAGTGGCCTCCAGAGGGAAATCTAAACCACTTTCAGGAGTAGTTTTGTGTTCTTTTTCTTGAAAAAAGCCACAATCAACAAACATGTATAGACTTCTTCTATTCAGTTCTCTTTAGGTTCTTATTCATATCTCATGCTGACTACATCCTCCCCTTTCCCCCTACTCCTCTGGCAATGATCTATGTGGATGAGAAGAAAGGCGTAAACTACTAATGTCATATTTTTCCCATGTGCTTTTATGTCTAGTAATATCTGTGTGAGCATAAGTTCAGCATGGTGTCACTAAAAAGAAAAGAAATACCTATATTCTGTAATGTCCTTTGAGCTGGACTGACCTAATTTCCTTCCATAGTTCACCTGCTTGCCTTCCTTCCTGCCTGCCCCAGCACTTTCCATAATGTCATGCTGCAGAGATGAGCTGCCTTCTGAGCACTGCACTGCATTGTGTGCTGGAGTCACACTTGGGCAGCATGTCTGCATTTTTTTCTGTACTGTTTCTGTGTATCCATCACTACTGCTCAGTCAGCCTCTGGGCTTACTTCTTCCTTCTTGTATGCCTATCCATGTCTCTAGCAAATATCCTTCATATGGTGAGTCCCTCCAAACACCTCCAGGTGTTCACTCTGTATCGCTGTATCAACAGCTGCCTGCTCTGCGTGAGACTCTGTCAGCTGTTACTTTCATAAGCACCCTGGAAACTAGGATTCTTACATCTTTGGTGCCCATGACAGGCAATATGATTTATGATCCTCACCCAAATAGCCATTCCTCGAAGCAGCCAAGGGGCTGCTGCTGTCATTGCCATCACTAGTAATTGTGGTATGCACTAGGCTAAGTTTACAGGTGTTGTGATGAAGCCACACAGAGATACAAACCTGGTATTTGCATGGCCACTGTCTCCTCAATGTTCACAGAAGCTTCTGGTAGAAAGCTGTTACTTAGCTTTCTAGCTATGCTGAGTTGTGGTGTGAATGATGTACCACTTCTACAGAGGGGTTGTTTACTTGGCTCTGCAATCTCATGTGTGCTGTATCTGCTACAGCATCATCACCAATAAGCTTTTTTGAGAGTGTGAACCTCTACTCAGTAAGGTGAAAAGTTTGGATTCTTTTGAATTTTTGTCCCTGTCTTGGTGTTTCCAAGGAGTTGTAGTTGATGATGTTTCTGAAAACTTTGGATTGTGTTTCCTCTAATTTAGGAGGTAATTGATGCATGTATCAAAATCAGACATGATACTGCACTGAAGGGTACTGCTGTGTGAAATTCTCTTTCCCCTTGACTCAAGTTCCCTGAACTCCCATATGGTCTATATGAGATATGCAAGTTTTCTCAGTTTTGTTATTGAGTGTTGTTTGAAAACAAAGAATTTGGTATTGGCTGTCTTTTGGTGTCTGTTGGAGATATGCAAAAAAGGGCCTGTTTAGATCCTCTAGTTTAGGTTGTTTACCTTGCTGTGATTTTTTCCTTTTTTTTCCCTTTTTTTCTTTCTGTCTTTAGTATCTCTGCCTGGATGCTGGAAGTGAAATAATAAATAGCTTTTGCATGGCTCATGTTCCAACACTTGTTAGCTTCTGTTTCTGACTCTCCAAGCCATTTACATTCCTTAAAAGTTCCTTTCCTTAAAAGTTAAATTCCTTTTGGTCTTCAATCCATAATTCTGCCTATCTGCTATCTCTTCTTGTAGCTTATTCCTTAAATTTTCACTTCAGAAAAACTCCCATTGGTTTTATAGGAGATTTTCTTGCCATAACACTCCTCAATGAGGCAGCAAGTACGTGATACCTCTCCCAATTGTAACAGGACTCACAAAGTAAGGATGTTGCTTGGATTCTCACATCTTTCTTGGCTTGTGTGCTTGGAACAGTTTTGAATTTGTAAGGTTCAGTACTGGAGTTTAGAGATGCTGATTTCTGGTCTTTTGTACAAACTTGATGACAGAATGTTGTTCACTATCAAAGGGATGCTTTACTAGATGCCTGTCCAGAGAACAGCTGGCTACAGCTGTAAAAATCCAGGCCTGTGCTGAAAATAGCTTGTACAGTGAGAACCCTTGCTTTATTTGCTAAAAATACATTCAGTGGAAAAGCTAGGTGAGATTATAAAATTATCAGCTTTATTATGAACAATTTAAGATGTGAGTTTATGACAGTCCAGATCTGTGACCATCACAGAATCAGAATCACAGGATCAGTTAGGTTGAAAGGGACCACAGTGGCTCATCTGGTCCAACCTCCCTGCTCAAGCAGGGCCATCCTAGAGCACATGGCTCAGAATTGTGTCCAGATGGTTCTTGAATATCTCCAGTGAGAGAGAATCCACAACCTCTCTGGGCAATTTATTCCAGTGCACAGTGACTCACACAGTAAAGAAATTATTCCTCATATTCAGGTGGAACTTCCTGTGCATAAGTTTCTGCCCATTGCCTCTTGTTTTATTGGTTTGCATCCCTGAGAAGAGCCTGGTTCCATCTTCTTGGCACCTCCCCTTTGGATACTTGTATACATTAATAAGGTTCCCTCTCAGTCATCTCTTCTCAGGACTGAACAGGCCTAAATCATCAGTGGAGTAGCTGTAGGGTAAAGTTGGGCCCTCAGGTCCTACGGTTGGAAAATAGACTGTCAAAGAAACAGAATGGATTGTAACCCATTGGAAACCAGGGGGGATCATAAGAATCTTTGAACATTTTCACTACCTTCAAAGACTTCACTGTGAGCCCTACACAACAGCAGGTACTTTTTTCATTACCCTTAAGCCTATAAGCAATATTTAGTATAAAATAAAATGCCAAGATTTTAGTAGAAAAACTGAGCAGGTGTTTAGCTGGCCAGCAAGATTTTAATTTTTTTATCAAAATCTTTAATGATAACGAAGTGTTTCTTTAACCTTCGCTGCTATAAATAAATGTCTGCTCTTCCAATTTCTCATTCTGCCTCTTGGATGTTACTATGGAGTCCTGGACCTCTCTTGTTTGAACACATGATCCTGCTTCCAGAGCATGTCTGTTGTGGGCACACTCTGACTCTCTGTATTTCAGCAACTCTCCTCAAGTTTTAAAGTGTTTATCTTACACAGCTGAAAGTCTCCTCCTGTTTCATGAGCTCTACACTGGAATGCAGTGGAAGAGACCCAGGGCACTTGGCCACCCAGATTAGAGTTTTTTGTATTAAGGTCCCTATATGGTTTTGTTAGAGACTTCAACTCTGTCTCTGTCTGTCTCTGCTCCTTGTTTGGGAGGCTAGTGGGAGGAGAAGAACTGAAGGGGCTATATAACCTCAGAGCTTTCAGATACAGAGTGCACCATCCCAGAGCAGCTATCCCCAGCCAAGCACTGTCAGGGTAAGTGGCACGGAACCAATAGCATGATTTACAGATTGCTGGAGCACTTCTATTAAATAATGTCAAATGGAAGCTATTCAGGAGGATGTACTGCTGCACTGTAGTTTGCTTAAGCAAACTTTATTAGAATTGAGTTCATAAAATGCTTATAGTATCTATACTGAGTTGTCTTTATTTTATAGCACTTCTGAAAGGGAAAGAAAAGTTCTACCTAATAATTTTGCTGATTCCACCAGCACTTCAGCAATTGTGTAAAGAAACAGTTTGTGTAATGCCACAGCTGGAATTGCACCTATATTCAGGTTTAAAAGAACCCATGTGACCTTGAGGTGTTAGTCTGGGACAGAACAGAGTTCTTGCAGGGGTATGTAGTGATGTTTCTTAGCAGATTTGCTTCAGTGCTGTTAACCCAGTGTAAGTTGGCATGAGTGTTTTGGGAACGTGACTGCAAGAACAGCTGGAAGTGTGCAAATTAGCAGTGTCTAATAGGATAAAATGAGATGCATGTGTATTCATCCTTGTCTTTGTATGTGAAACTACTGGTCTGTAAAATGCCAAACATTTCATTAAGGAACAGGCTACATGCTACACATAGCACTTCTTGTGGAGCTGGACTTTCCTTCATCGTTTGTTGTGGAGATTGGTGGGGTGATTTATTATACCTAGATGTGAAGTAGGGAGAAGAAAGAAGCTTAAGACTATGGATTATTTGGGAGAAAAATTTCCTTTCTTCCAAGTATTCAGTGACATTTGCTACTCTAAGATGTTGCTATTGCATGCCGTGGCAGTCCTGAGCTGTAACTCACTGGTTGGCAGCAGAGCACCCTGTCTGATTTTTCAACTTTTTGTGTTTTATTACTAAATATGGTTTTCATTTAGAGTCCACTAAGCTCAGAAACGTAGCCTTTCCTGCCCCCTTCTTTTCCCTCCCCCCAGTGATTTTTGGCATTGCATTAACTGCATTGGTTTGAGCAAACCCCCTGACCTCAATCTCTGTTCCAAAAACAGACGGCTGGAAAGCCTATTTCCTAATTAGGAAATGGTTTGTCCAAACCAGCCTGTTCATTCATGTTAGATAACAGTTGTACTCCATTCAGTAAATACTTGAATATAAAGAGCCTGTTTCCCCAGGAGTTTAATAAATGAAAAAATTGCAACCTACTTTCCTTTCCCATTTATTATGATAAAATATCTGGAGTACACAAAGTTAGGATTTCCCTATCCTTGTCTTCTCCTGAGAGCTCTGCCCACGCAGCCTGCAGGAGCAGGACTGCAGCCATGTCTCGTGGCTGCCTGGCTGGGGAGAGACAGAGGATCTCAAATGAAGGATTTGGGAGAACTGTCTGTGCTTGCTCCATCCACTGTAGAGGCTGAACAGATTCTGGACTGCCTTGCTTGTTTGCCATGGCTCTCATTGACCCCATTCCCACTTCATCCAGTATTCCTGTGGCAGAAGGTTTTGGAGGCTGCATGCAGAGCCAGCTGGTTCGTGGATGACAGCTGTCTCCTTTAGCTGTTAACACATTGCAATTTGTTGAACTCTGCATGGAAGCCTGGGCTTGGAGTGAGCCAAGTGATTCCCTACCACGCTATAAATTGCAAGCAAATAGTTCTTCTTGAGTTCTGGTATTCAGTGATTGTTTCTGTAATTGACTTTCATGCAAAGCCTTCAAAGCATTTTTATTACTCATATTATCTTCCCATTGCCAAAGGAAGAAAACAGTTTCTTTTTACTGAGACAAGGAGCCAACATAAATTGCTCCATCACTCTACAAATGTAGTTTATTAGCTGCTTTGAAATTCTGAAAGGACATATGCCATGGCTTGTTTTTAAAACACATACTGTCTCTGGCTTCATTTTAAAGGTGTTATTTTTTTTCTGAGTGATTAGGGAAGGACTGGAAAAGGCTTGGGTTTTTTTTTAATATTTTTATTTTATTTTTCTGTTTTATTTGGAAAGGTTTTGAAAGGTTAAATGTAAACTTAAAATGTAAATGTAAGTCTTCACCCAGTGGGTTAATACCTGCATCAGGAAAACACCCTTGGTACATGCACAGAATTTAATGTCGTTAGTTTTTGGGAAGACTGAAAGGGGAAGATGAAGTGCTCTTACCTTTGACAGCTTTCCACGTGTCAGGATTTTGTCTGGGTGATAGAAAAGCAGGAGAAGTTGTGCTGAATCCAACACGAATGGATCTTTGTTTTTGCAGCTGTCAGTCCAGCATTCTCTTTTATCTCCCACCCCCAGCCATGGATTTCTGTGACCAAATTTAGATAAACATTTGCTGCTCCCTGATCTCTCTGCCCATGCTGCAGGGCTGGAAGTCTCCTCTGGAATTCCCTGGATAATCTCTAGTGCACATAGCCCTTTGGCAGAAACCTCTCACACTTTGGAAAGGAAGCCCATTCCCCCATGTGGTCCTGCAGTCCTTGTGATTGCCAGAGTGGGGCCATACCCCTCCTGGCTGGTGCTGGTTGCTTTCATACATCCATCTCTGTCTTCGAGGGTGGGTCTGCTACCTGAGTACATGTGGGTTTTTTAAAAAATTTTTCCCTGCTGTTTTCATAGGGCTGTTTTCTGTCTGGTGGGCCAGAGGACACTGACGTAGAAGATGTGTGAGGAAGAGGACAGCACTGCACTCGTTTGTGACAATGGGTCAGGGCTCTGCAAAGCTGGCTTCGCTGGGGATGATGCTCCAAGAGCAGTTTTCCCTTCCATTGTGGGTCGTCCCAGGCACCAGGTGATGAACTACTCTGGCTATTCCTTAGCTTATAGAAGGCTTTGCTGTCTCGTCCCAAGCTCTACACCCTAGGACCACATTTTCCTGTGTCTGGGGCTAGTCCAGCCTGGAATGATCTATGTAACACAGTATTTCCAGGAAAAATGAGTCCAGCAGTGCACTCATCTCAGTCAAAGCAGGTCTCTTGCTTTGTGAGAGGAATCTTCTCAGATTTTTCACTCCTTTCTATGCTGTCTTTTCTCTGTCCCTTAATTTTGAAACACCCAGAGAACTTGGAGAGTAAAGCTAGTTTGAAATAAAACCAACCCAAAAACCCAAATAAGGCTGACACAGAAACATCTGGAAATTCTGACTGCTCTTAAAGCTCATGATAGGTGATGTGTGAAGAACTAAAGGAAGAAGGAGAAGTTTTCAGTCAGCTTCCTACTAACCATCCTGACTTTTTTCAGTTAGCTATATCACAAATGGGCACTTGTCTAAGATTGAGTTTCTTTGGCTTAAGAGTTTACATTTGAGTATATGATGCATTCTACTTGTCCTTTGCAAAATATTAAAACAAGTTATTATCTTAGCTGTTAAATATAGAGAGCTTATGAGACAGATCATCATTAGCATGAACTAGAACAGCTTGGCTAGGCCACAACAAACTAATCCATATAATTAGCAGATCCACCTACTTACTTCCTTGTCACCCAAGGCCCTGGTGGAAAGAGAAAAGCTGGTAGTGAGATGTGGCACTTTATATACACAGCAAGTGCATTTTAAATTCTTCAGGACTGGAGAAATATCTGCCTTTGGGCATAGAAGCTAGGGTTGGAGAGCTAATTGAGGCCTCTGAGCATTAGCATAATTAAAAAGTGTATTCAGATGCCATCTTCTGTAGCTAGTGTGAATTATATTAAGTGCCCAAAACCAAGCCATACAGTCACAGTGGAAACAATTACAGATATCTAGAACCTTTCCTTTCTGATCACGTATCACAGATAGTGCCCTGAAGGAAGGATCTTCCTATCAAAAATTGCAAATCCAGGATGCCTGTTTTTTAGACAGAGAGTTAGAGATGCCAGGGTTTGGAGTCTGTAATGAATAGGTTTTGATAGGAGCATCATGCACTCAAAGCATCCTACTATATACTAAATAATTTTTTCACTGTTTCTGACTTTAACACAGAGACCAGTGTATATCCAGAGTATTTTCCAGCATCTGGTCCTTTGAGCATTTCTACAGGATCCATGAAAATACCTAAAATGAAACCTGTACCAGTAGATTTAAATTGTCTGTCTGTAGTGAGAGTATTGGAGTGTTCAAAAAGGAGATTTAAAAATGCTGAAACTTAAGCTTTGAGAAATGTAAAGTGTATCACTCCATCTTGACCTTTAGATGGCACAGTATCACTTTCTGCTTTTACTCCATTTTATTATAGTTGAACAGATGGTTCACCCCTAAATAATAATGAACATTAAAACAACTCTATTTTCCCACTTTATCTTGATGCATGTAATATTATACTTGTTCTGCTTAAACTATAGTGGAAGCACAAACTGCAGAGATTTAAGTGAACTGAACATTTAATATTGGCAATTTAAGAACAACAAATATTTCTCCATTTGTTAGTATTCATAAAGTATGCTGTAACTAATATAACTGGCAACTGGATTTATTTCACAGCTAATGTTCTGTCTACTTTGTGACATTTCTCCCTGAGAGAGTAACTCCATTTGTATTATTTTACAGGGTGTGATGGTTGGTATGGGTCAGAAAGACAGCTACGTAGGTGACGAGGCTCAAAGCAAGAGAGGAATCCTGACCTTGAAATACCCGATAGAACATGGCATCATTACAAACTGGGATGACATGGAGAAGGTATTTCAGCTTTGTAAAGTCGATGTGTATCACTGGTGAACAAAACTACTTAACCCAAATGTTTACAGAGTACCCACTAAAATTTAGATGAAAGTGTCGTGCTATCCAGTATGGTTTAATGAGAAGCTTGTTAACAGCTAAGGTTAACTTACATCTAAAGCTGGAGTATCACTAGGGGTGAAAATAGTTACTGGGAGTTTTTACTGCAGTCCGATCTCTGCTAATTGCTTGGGGAGGGTGGGGCAGGGAGAAGGAAACGGGAGGAAAGAAAGAAAAGGACTATGTTGATTTGCTAGTAAGAAAATGGAATTTAAGAAGGTATCTTGTTTCTGTAAAAATGCAAAACATGTATGTGACTCTGATGTGAAGGCACTGCTTAAACACATACTTTTAATGCTTGAAAGACTAGCAATATTGTAATGCAATGCATCTGTTTCAGCATTCCAGAGCCAGTACTTGGATAAAAGGCTTCTAGAACCATGTTTCTAGTAATAGTCTGCACAGATTATATAATTTCTATGATTCTAAAATGGTATCCCCATTTAATGTTGTGCTGTGCTAATAGGGCTATTTGGAACAGTCAGGGCATCACAACACATTGCAAGTGTGTTGAGTCACACACTACTCCCTGAGCCTCGCAGTATTGTAGATTTTTATTTGAAAGCAAAATCTTGTAGATGCCAAACATATTAACTGATCCCTAATCACTACCAGTTCAAAAACAAGCTTAGCAAAAACATCTTGGCTTTTACTTCTCATTGCAGTCCACATGGCCTCAGATTTTTATAGCTTGTAGGACTGAGTCATGGAGGTGATAAATACATGTAGACTTTCAGCCTCACAAACCATTTACTTTCATTTCTTTTTGTGAAATCTTGGGTTGGCCTCTACAAACCAAAAGATGAAACTGTCAAGAGACCCATTATCTATTGAACTCTGCATATATTCTGGAATTGTTCTGGAACTGTTTCACTTTCAATCATTATTGCAATAGCATTGCTGGAACCAAGTCTGTCCTGCTCTGTCTCTTCTACTGTAAGAGTAACATTCATTTTCATTAACTTATGTGTCTGTAAAGTCATATTACTGGCTGTTAAAACCTGAGGATAGCGCTTTTCTTTCTACAGTTGCTCTGGTAATCTTTATGAAGGCAGTAAGAAAAACTGCATGGGAAACATGCTCTGCCTATATCTAGGGCAGAGCACAGTACGTATCTGGAAGGGATTCTGAGCTGCTGGCTGATGGTGTTTCTTTCCTTTGGCTTCTCCCATTATCCTCAGATCTGGCATCACTCTTTCTACAATGAACTCCGGGTTGCACCTGAAGAACACCCAACTCTGCTGACTGAAGCACCATTGAATCCCAAAGCCAACCGTGAGAAGATGACCCAGGTAAGCTCACACTAAAGCTATGGAATAATCCAACTTTGTGATTCAATCAGTCATGCTGTCCAGTAGTCTGTCTCTCCTAGTTATGGAAGATAGAAAGAGCATAGTGACCACCTGTCATATTTACATATTATTACATTTACTGTAGAAAATTAGTGTATCCACTTTGAATGTGAGTACTTCAGTCTGTCCAAACTTTGTCATCTTAATCTGGTTTTATGCCCAGTCATATTGCAAAATTATCTTTAATATGTGCATGTGTCTATATTAATACGTTAAAGATGTAGGCCAAATAGAGGGAGATGTCTTATTGGGCAAATATTTTTGGATTTTTGTATTTTCCTTCCTTGTTATTACCAACCACTGAGAAATCTGAAAATCTTGTATTCTGCCTCTCTTTCAGTAAATTGCTTCAAGTGAGCTAAACCTCCTAGTATTAAGACAATTATTTTAATTGCATTTCAGATTATGTTTGAGACGTTCAATGTGCCAGCCATGTATGTAGCTATTCAAGCCGTTCTGTCCCTCTATGCTTCTGGACGTACCACAGGTAGGTCCCTGGGGAACATGATGTAGACATTTGAAAGAGTTATGTGTGTTGATGCATGCCTGGGAATGAACCTTGTGGTATCTTCTCACAGGGATTGTGCTTGACTCTGGGGATGGGGTCACCCACAATGTGCCAATTTATGAAGGCTATGCCCTGCCACACGCCATCATGCGTCTGGACCTGGCTGGCCGTGACCTGACAGACTACCTCATGAAAATCCTGACGGAACGTGGATACTCCTTTGTGACCACTGGTAAGGACATGCCACTGACTGAGAGGAGAGTTCTTAATGTGCAATGTTTCTAGTGTCCTTAGTAGAAGGACTAGCAGTGGTTCTGCAGTTGAATAGGCATGAGAAGGATTCCAGCATGAAAGACTCTTGCAAGACTAGCAAAGAATTTGTTTAAAAAATGCGGAGGGTGTTAGAGGATGAAAGAGCACAAGTTGTCAGCATGTTTGGGTCCTTCCTGAATGCTATTCTAAAGACTGAATCGTCTTGACAGCGGAGCGTGAAATTGTCCGTGACATCAAGGAGAAGCTGTGTTACGTGGCCCTGGACTTTGAAAATGAGATGGCCACTGCTGCATCTTCCTCCTCTCTGGAAAAAAGCTATGAGCTTCCTGATGGTCAGGTGATCACCATTGGAAACGAACGCTTCCGCTGCCCAGAGACTCTCTTCCAGCCATCTTTCATTGGTAGGTTGAATGACTGTTCTGCCTTGGTAAACTGCACATAAATATCACGTCCCTGTTTCTCTTTGATTGTGTGCCATTGCTAACTCACGCAGACCTATACACAAGTCTGTCCTAGCACCTATTATAAAATAATCTATCAGAACAGCACTATTCATATGGTGTAAAGAACTTCATGTCAAACAATTAGACAAAATGCTTTCCCAAAATAAACCCTCAATGTTTATTCCTGGCTTCTGGCATTGGGCTTGTGCCATTTTGCATGTTTGAATGTGCTTGCTCGGGCAGGGAGGGTAGTGGAAGGGCAGGCAGAAGCCCTACTTTTATTTTTCCAAGCGACTGCTCCAAATCCTGAATCCATGGTTCATCACATTTTCAGAGCAGAGCCAAGACAATGCCATGCTATCAGCACCCGTGAAGGCACACTTGCAACTAGGTCACACAGAAAATCCATGTTGGTCCTGCCAATCAGCAGAATTTCAGCTTAGAAATAAATAAAGTCGTTGCATACTTAGAAGTATTAGGACATATTTTGACTGTTCTGTCTCTGAACTGGCTTAATTTAAAAAGAAAAAAAAACAACCCAGAATTATTCCAAAACCATATAAGGAATTCTTAGGATAATTGTGATTGCCTGTGAAAGCCTAGTGGAAACTTTACTATTCCACACCCCCAGTTTTCTTTATAAAGAGGAGTTGCGTCAGGGGAAGAGGAGAGCTGTATGCCAAGGAACTCTTCAGCAAATAATATAGGCTACTGCAGAATGACATTTCAGATTTCCAAAGCTCTGAAGACTGATGTCTTCCAAAGAGACACTAAAGTTTGTGTTGTCAGTTCTGTAAACAATTTTAAGTCTCTGTCTGGAGTTGCTTCCTCAGTGTTCTTCTGAACCTTTCCCCAGGCATGGAGTCTGCTGGCATTCATGAAACCACTTACAACAGCATCATGAAATGCGACATAGACATCAGAAAGGATCTGTATGCCAACAACGTGCTGTCTGGAGGCACCACAATGTACCCGGGTATTGCAGACAGGATGCAGAAGGAAATCACTGCTCTGGCTCCTAGCACTATGAAGATCAAGGTATGTAAGGTGCAGTCATTTGGAGACTGTATGATTTGGCATTTACAAAGTCCTCAAAGATCTAGAGAAACACAAAAACACTTTACAAAGGAAATGCTTTTAACAGATTTTGAATCATGTCTGGATTGTCTAGCAAATAATTGCTACCTGGTAACTTTGGTGCTGAAAGAAGAGAGCCTTCTCTCCTCTCTTGTTTATGATGAGTTCTGTCAACTGCCCTAACATGGCCAAAGAAGAATAGCATGGACCCATCAGCATAAATTTTTCTCTGGGGTTATATGTGAGCTTCTTAAGCTCTTTTTTGTCTGATGGATGTGGGAGAGAGGAAATGCTGGAATTGTCCTTGGCCTACAAGTCCAAAAAAGAAGATGACTCTGACAGACCAATGTTCCTTCTGCTGCTTCAAATCTTCTATTATTTGCTTTATAAACATTTTATCAGCTATACCAATGAGAGTGCTCCATAAGTCACACATTTTTCCAAGCCCTCATGGACTATCATTATATTGCCAGAGCAATTATTTTCCCTTTTATCATATGCAGCCATGGGTGAACAAATACACTAGGGATAGGGGTTGCTGAGAAGGCTGATTTAAACAGAGAAATTGAAGATATTGACTTAGATAACAATTTTTTAACTCTACTGCTTGCAGCAATGGCTAGCTGTAAGGTCAGGGATGGCACTAGCATGTATGCAGTGTTTTTGTTTGTATCACATATCAGTGCTTTAATATTTTTGTATAACATATGTGTTCTATCACAGTAGACAGTTGCACTTAATGTTTTTATTTCTTAAACAGATCATTGCTCCTCCTGAACGCAAGTACTCCGTCTGGATTGGAGGTTCTATTCTTGCCTCCCTGTCTACTTTCCAGCAGATGTGGATCAGCAAACAGGAATATGATGAAGCTGGGCCATCCATTGTTCACCGCAAATGCTTTTAAATTGCTTTATCTTTATATGTCTCCTTAGTGTGAATGTATTCAGGAAAATACATTCTGATCATTTCATTCCATAAAACCTTCATCGCAATTCACCTAATTAATTGGATACTGTGTATTTTTTTTAATAAATTCTAAATATGCTTTGAAATTGCTGCTCCTATTTAAAACAAAACAAAAGCCAAACTGTGCATGCGTGGAGATGCTATTAGAGCTGGTTTGAAGCTCCACCTTGTGACGTGAATTTGTTACTACACTCTATTGAGCTTGGTAGAAAAGGTGGTAACTTTAGCTCAGTGATACCAATGCCAGAAAATGCTCACCTCTCAGCAGCATGTTCTCAAAGATTAGCCTCGGAAAACATTTTTAATCTGCAAACAGAACCAGTTGTGATTTTTCCAAAGTTCTGGGCAGTAGCAAAGCATCTCTTTGGTATCATGAAGAGCATGGGCACCCTGCTTTGTATCTATCTGCTCTATCCAGAAATATTGCCTACCCACACCACTTAACTCACAGCTGTCATGCTGGAAAAGCTGATTTGTTACAGTGCATGGTATACAGAGGTGTACAATGCCTAGCACAGCATTTCTGTGTTTTCTTTAAAGAAACAAAACCTGTTCCTTTGGGAGCATATCTAAACACTAATACTAGGTTGAATATATACTTTCTATTTTATGCCCTCAGGATGAGTGCAGCCTATTATTTTTATGTTGTGTTTCTAGCAAGGTCTAAAGGGTAAATTAAGCTGGCTTAATACACTTTCTCTTCAGAACTTTTTTGGGTGGGGGTGAGTAATGTAATCAAAGTAGCTAAAATAATTTAGACTTTTTCTGTGATTTTTTTCTGATTCCATTTATAACCTTAAATACATCAAAACTGATAGTCAACTAGAAGTATATGCATAGAAGCTGAAGCCAGTAATACTGTCTTAAAGTTATATATATGAACAAATAATTCACTGAGACAGACCTGGCCAAGGTCATTTCTAAGGAACTTGCCGCAATCTGTATTCATTAGAGTTCAGGATAAAGGATGCTATTTATTTTTGTTAACCTATTTTCCTCTCTAAACTCAGTAGTTTATCTTACTTGCCTGTTACCTGTTATCTTTCAAACTGTACGCTCTTTGCAACAGCACCTGTTATTTACCATGTCTGCATAACCCCAGGGTTCCAGATCTTGTCCAGCTTCTGACTGTTAGCACGTGTTGCAAATTCCTTGGTACTAACCTTATTATTTAAAGTATAGGTCATCTAGGTTCTTGGAACAGTTACTAAATAAACTCTTGTAAAAGCAAATAACTTCGTATGGTTTTTCCTTCTAACTCTATCTAGGTCTTTTTCTCTAACTCTAGATAGATCAGGGAATCCTTTTCAGGATAAGAAGTTGCTTTCAAATTAAAGTTTCTACTGGAGGATTGCTGGAAAAGTCCCTTGTCCGAGGCACTCTGATGAATCTCTGCTATCCCAGGATGTGATGAGGGTCAGCTCTCAGGTAAAAGACTTGTGTTTTCCAAAGTATCTTCTGCTTAATAACATAGCTGAAACTTGAACGATACAAAGTTGGAATGGGGAAAAGGATGAATAATCACCCAAACTGTTGTATTTGCCTCTACTACATATAATGTAACTTCACTGAAGCAGTTAAGAGATGTACAGAGCTGGAAGTCACAAAAAGGCCAACCACTGTTAAAAATATCTAATTCTCAGAAGGCAATTAATGCCAGCAAGTGAGAAAGGAAACATTACTTATTTCAACACAGCTACAGTTGTTTGAAGTTCTTTTTATTGTTGTATTTTATAGGTGAGATTTGTTTACAGATTCAGGGGTAATGCCACTGAACTCCATCTTGACAGAGCAACAAAACTTCAAAACAGGCTAGAGCAATAAATATCAAACCATTCGATCTAAAATGTATAAATATAAAAGTAATTTTCTGAAAATGTAGGAAAAACAGGAATCCACTTTTCTGGTTTGGCCTTTTGTAGAGTAACATCGCTATCATCCATCCGTATCACCTCAGATCCAGCACAATTATCTTTATGTCTTTCCCAACCACATGGGTACATGGCTGCAGAAGAAGTCAACCCATTACTCACAGAACTCAGTTGCAGTAAAACAGTCAGTAACTTTATCAACTAACTAAGTCTGTAAAAGTCCACTGAAAAGAGCCCATCTGGAACAAAATATCTTAACAGTTTTTTGGAGTTGGACAACCTTTTCATTATCACTACAATCAATGATAAAAGAACAGAACAAGACAAAGAACCCTGACCTCTCCTTTTGAGGAGAGTCCAACAAGAAAGTAATTTCCAATGTCTGTCAGCATTACTTCTCTGCATTTGACCATTTGATTTTGAACTGTATGACATGCTTCTGTATTTGAAGTGAGCCCCATTAAAAAAACTCAAGCCCTTAATTATTCAAGGGTAAAGACTTATCAGAAATGTCACTGTTATCTGGAAGACAATTCTGACTGACTGTACTGTTCAGCCATTTCACAGTATACTATGAAATAAGATCAAAAGATAGTGTAGTTACTGAGAAAGTCTTATGAGAATGTCAGGGGAAAGTGATGGACAATGCAGGAAATAATGCTTAACCTTCATAGCTACATTTTTAGCAGCTGAGATTTTCTATTAGGAGACTACAGTCAGAGAAATGAGCTGATTCTTTGTTTAAAAACTGACAGAGCTCAGGAATAATTCCCATTTGAAAATGTGGCTCTTGCTCCTCCTGCAAGCAGGTAAAAGTAGTGACTGATGGTAACTGCCTCTCGTTAGCCACCATGTGAATGACAGCATGTAATGCTTGTTTCCTGGCTGCTCTTGACTGCTTAAGTAGTCTTCTGATGTCTGCCTTGGTCAGTGAACTAAGGGTAATGAATTATTAAAACAGAGGGAAAACTATTAAGAAACCTAATCTCAGGCACATGTAATTTCTGTTTGCAGCAGAACCATGGGCAAGAATTTGAATAGTCAAAACCACGTTAGATTATATACTTACATTAAATAACCTCGGGTCCTTTGTATGTGGGTGGAAACCCTTCTTTTTACAAGCAGAAACTTCTAGCATACCAGCATTAGTAAGTCTGAAGATGCCAGTGCTGGAAAGCAAAACGTGAAACTCTTGTTACACACTGCTCCTACAATACACATCCAAGGTTTCACATACAAGTTGCTTAGCTTAAGAGAAGGACAACAGAATAGTTACTTGGTGACTTTTCATACACAGGAGCCCAGAATGACTTGAATTTGAAATCAAGGGGAGTTGTGCTCCTGTAAAGGGAGAGATAATGTGTGGAAGGGGTGAAAAGTACTGTGTGCTATTCCCATTAGGCAGGTTAGCCTACTACTGACAAAGGCTAGTTCATAAAGGAATGGATACAAACCAGGATTGCATTTCACCCAGGGCAACTTAAAAGAGAAGAGCCCTTAAGCTAGCCATGTAAACGACTAGCAGGGATATACATCTTTCCCACTCTTTTAGGTAATCACATAATACAAAGCATTAGAAAATGCACTGCTGCACATGCGTGATCTAACGCTTCAGGTATTGAATAAAACATTAGAAAACCCACCCTTCTGTAAAGAAAATAACCTATTAACTACAGGATAGCACCTGATAATAAATGTTACAGATAAGAGTAATGGGTTAGAGTCAGTTACAGGATATCAGCATAAACTCTGAAAGAAGTTGGGAAGATCAGAAATTTGAAAAGATATGCAGGCATGCACATGGTTACAAATTACAAAGCCTAGTGCTTGTGCACTTGCCACTCAGTCTGTATTCACAGCTCTGCTACTTGAATGGCCCATATTGCAAGTTAAGCAACCAGGACAGGATTCATAGAAGTATTCTATGGAGGCAGAAGGCCAGAAACAAGGTCTGAAGGATTGACTATCTAAACAACGGAGTTCACCCTGGCGCCTTGAAATGCCAAACACACCAAAGAAGAATCACAAAATTGTTGAGATTGGAAGGAGCATCTGGAGATTGCCTGCTCCATCCCCCCTGCTCTGGCAGAATTGCCTTGAGCAGGTTGACAGGACCATGTCCAGTCAGGTTTTGAGTATCTCCACGGATGTAGACTTCACACCGCCTCTAGGGAACCAGTTCCATTATAAATCTTCACATTAATATTTACACAGTTCCATCTTTTTCCAGATACATACTGTTTGCATTTTATGAAAGACATAAATAGACCCTTATTATCAAAATTGTGATCTTCATCCTTCTGCTTCACAAACTGTAATTCTCATATCATCCTAAAGAAATGTCTAACCTCCCTCCACTTCCTTCATCAAACAGAATGCAATAGGTCTGTGGCAGAGCACTGGCAATGAGGACGCCAGAAGACTGGACTAATTAGCGGGGCAGAATATAAAAATAAATAAAATCTGGGTCTGGGAAGGGGAGAGAGAAGCCAGAAACAATACTGTGCAGAGAGACTGACTGATACACGAGTTTAAACAGCTTATAGAAAGCAAACTCATCACACAATGTGCATACCTTTTGTATCAGTTGACATGTACTCTTTGCATTTGATCAAGTTTATGACAAGGAGCAATCTAAATATTGACAGTCTAAATATCGCAATATAAATATTGCTTTAAAAAAATCAGAACTCACTCATTATGCTTTGGGGAACAAACAATTGCAATGGCCTCTGGCAACATTAGCTGATAAGAACAATGAGTATGAAGATCAACACTGGATAAGAATGCAGTTTGTGTTGGATGTGTCTACAGAAAGAAAGGGAAAACAACATCATGAAGTATTTCTTACAAACCAAGGTTGACATACATTCAAGAAGGAGGAATAATTTGTAACAAGTGAAAGCATCAGTACTTCTCCAGCTTGGTTTCTTAAGCTCCTATTAGTCCAGACTATATTGTTAGGGTGGCTTTTCAGGTTGGGATTCATGGAGGTACATTCACAACCAGATATACAAGCAATTTTTCTGATCATGGTGGGGAAAAGGTGTAATGAAGAAGCACAAGACAAAGGCAAATGACTTGCTTGTCAAAAATCATTAGGAGTGAAACTAATATAAAGTTTAAACAAGACAATACTCCCCTCAACTTTTGAATATGGCATTAGAAAGTAATAAAATATGCCTAAATCCACACAAACAAAAGTTGCACTAGTGATAGCAGACCCATTGTGTCAACAGGATGCCTCAATTGCATTAAGAAATACTCCTCTGTGGAGAGCATTAGTGCTCACTTACATTACTACAATTAGAATTAAGTAAGCAAATTAATTTGGATTCTTCCAGCTGTTTCTTTAGGATATTTCTGGGTTGTTTTTTTTTCACAAGTATGTAGAGCCAATATAGAAAAGCCAAAATGTATGAGTCATACATACATGGATCCATCCCAAAGTGAGGAGATCATACTGATCCTGAATGCCAAACAATTCTTCCACATTCTCCATGTCACAGTAGTCTGGTCCTGAAGTTTGCTTTGGCACTATTACATGTGTAATAGTAAATTCATTATGTGTCTGTAAAACAAACATTGACTTAGAGTGGAACAAACTAGCTGATGAGTAAACGCTGAATCAGGATCTGAAAGATGTCAGCCTATCAGCTAAAACAAAACAGTATAGCTCCACTGATTCCAGCACAGCTCTACTGACACACTGCACCTGAAAATATGCCTTAGCATTTTATCATGGAAACATACAGGGTAGTATCAGTCACAACACACGTTTGTTGTATTTAAATGTTTTCAGTGTGAAAAGATTGTCCTTTAAAATAATAAAAAACATATAAAAGAGGTTTGAGAATGCTGCAATTATTTTATGTGAAACTTGGAACATGATTGCTGTTGCTATTCTTTCTCTTTCTACAATTCAAATACACTTGGGATCATCTTTCAAATTCTTTGTATGCAAGCATCAGCCATGACATCCTTCCCTGCTGGGAAAGGACATTAAGTGTTATCTAGGTCAAAGGAAAAAAAACCACCCTGAAAATCAGATGTTCTGCAGCTTGATGTGGGGATTTTCTTCTTTTTCTGTTGTGCCACTATGAATTTGATGACTCCAGTGGATTCTGGCAGTCTTTATATTTCATTGTCCTGTAACTAAACCTCACTTACCTTAGATGAATGCCAGAGAAAGTACTCGAAAAAGCCTGTATTGTACAGCATGCTGAAAAAGTGCTACATTTTATAACAGTAGCAGTGTACTTTGGTCAGATATTTCCCCCAATGAAGCAAGCCCACAATGCTGAAGTGACCACTCAGGTTATAATATGAAGTTCATTACATTAAAGACTAATCATTTACATCTGCTTTTGCTCTGAAATCAATGCATCACAGGATAATACAGTACTATCAAATACATCTTTCCCCATACAAATCCAAGTGTTAAACTGTACCAGTTTTCCACAGAGAATTCCACATGTCTCTATTCCTCTTACTGTATTTGCCTCTGCTAGCAGCAGAAATTTGTGACAGAGATCCCTGGGCAAAATGACACCTCTGAGTGCTTCAGCCAATTGAGCTAACCAAGAAT